CCTGGATTGCATTTTAGTTGCACAGACACAAGCAATAATAAACAGAATTGATCTCGAGCCCGAATTTTGCTGCTCTAAGTTAATTAAGGGTTGAAGAATCCGGGAAACAGTACTACAGTCAGGTTATTTCTGGCATACGGAAATCTATGAGCGAGATTGCATCTACCGGTCATTGGGCAGTTAGCAATTTCACGGCTAAGACATAGGATAATATTCAGATACTGTTATACCAAACAATTGTACGGCGCGGGAGTTTCGCGCTCGAGCAACATGCGTTCCTGCTGATCCACGTTTAACGCTGATTCTGCGCGTGCATCGTGGTCACTGCCTCAACGAGGCTGGTGCTATTGAGGTGCTGCTCAGTGGCGCCAGTAAAAAAATCCTAAAACTTTACCTTAGCGCATAGCTTGCCGCAAGGCAGCATGAAGGAGAGAACAAGATACCTTGTATTTCAAGCCGCTATAGGTGGCCCAGGAATTCGAGTGATTCTCTGCACTAATTTCTCAGCTTCTTACCCGAAACCGGTGGCTGTAGCCCATCAGCCCACGATGTCCACTGCAATAGCGGCGAGAACTTCGAATTTTTATCAATTTTTACACCACTTGTGTAGCAATATACTTAAAATATATTCAGTATGTCTACGGGCAAGATTAGAAACAATGTTGTGTGGAACACGTAAGTAAAATACGCCTTGGGACCAGAGAGAAAATATATGCATTTTACATGTAAAATAGCAGGTAGGTGTGGAGCAGCAGAGTAGCACTGTTGTCATACAGTAGGGCGAAAGTTCGATCCTGACCGTGGGTAACTAATTCCTCTAGCACTTTTTTGATGGTAAATCAGTATTGGCGTATGATAGGAAGTCAAATCCGTCATCAGCTTACCTGTAAGCAACTCTCAGAAAAAAGAGTCATTAACAGCTTTGCCACTGGGTGGTTGCTGTTGGCATTTACTACCACTCGGGCTGCTTCCAGTCTGGTGCGACTTCTCACTGAGAGAAAAATGCGGAGGGGGTTTTAACTTTCTGATATGTAAAACACTTGTTTGGAAGGTCTGTAAAACATGTTCTTTTACAAGTGTATAATGTATTGTACTGTCTCCCACTGTACTTAGATTGCCCACTAAACCATCAGAAGTATAACTTCATTAGCTAGTTTTACATGCACTTTCACGTTTTTTTTTGCACCTCCGGCAAGTATTCACAACTTTTTCGGCATACTTGCGCTATGTCTCCGGAGGGTGCGCAGCTGTTAGCTTCACTATACCTCTTTCGTTAGTATACAGCTTCGAATACGTTTTTTTTTTGTTTTGTTTTGTTTACTGCTTATTACATATCTAGCAACCGCTTTGTGCCAGTAGTTAACAGCTAATAACTTGCAACAAAATATACTGATTTGTCTTCTTAAGAATTCTGCATGAATCATTCGAAGAAACAAAATAGTTCTGCAAGGTTGCGTCTATCTGGTTTTTGTGCGGATGTTTGTATGCTGTGATGATTCACCGTCGGAAATTTGAGTGGTAAGACGCCAAAATTTTAGAGTATCCTTCAACCATGGCTTATTCACAGACTTCCCCTTCTAACGTAAGGAAAGTTGTTGCCCTTATTGGTCCTCAGCGTCTTGCCCGAGAATCAAATCCGTCACCAATAACCCTCCAAGAAAAAATTCACTGCTGTATTTTTTGAGGGAAATGGCTCTATGCTGCGTTTCGGGACTAAATACTACATGAAATACTCCCCGGACTTAAGGCAAACCCTCGGCTTTTTCCCAAAAGTTGTAATAGTCCAGAACGAGATAAATTTGAGCAGTTCTGATGTTGTGCCTCCATTCTGATCTTTGTTCGAATCACAGCAAGAAAATTCGGATCACAGCTGGAAGAATTTTTTCTACGATTTGTTTCCGTGATAAATTGGTTCTCGCTTGTTTATAGGCTCGAGCAGCTCTCATCTTGTTTTCCAGCAAATTTCTGGCAGAGGGGCCATCAGCAAAAATGCTGTTCAGCAGTTGACTCTGGTGCTGAACAGCAAAAATGCTTCTCCTTCAGATTTTACAAAAATGCAAGAAAGTTTTTGGACGTCAGTTTGTAATAATAACACTAACTTTAGGTCGCGAGCTCTCAACACTCATCTGAAATAAGCTGTA